TTAAGTCGGCAACATAGATGCTTCAGTCCTGCGTACGCTGCTCGTGCCTTGGAAATGAGGGCGTTTAATGCCTTAACTACGCTATCGTAATTTGTCACGCAATTACCGAAGTAGGAGAAAAAAAACCACGATATCTGATTCTTGACTATCAAGTATCAGAGCCGGGGTAGATGACACCCAGCCATGTAGCATCTTTTTGCATTCTGTAGGTGCAGAGCACATACCAAATGGAGTTAAGGAACTTGAACGTCTGCCAAGAGCGCTTTGTACATCCTCCATACTTTCGAAAAGACAAAACAAGTCGTCAGCGTACTTGAAAGCGCACAGCTTTTCTCCAGTTGACCATCATTCTGGAGACCACTTAGTGCCTTCTCCAGAATTTTGTCTACGTCGGAGTTGAATAGGAATGGCGTAACAGGGCGTCATTGACGAAAACCATTTCTGGCATGAAGCAATACGCTTAGCCCACAGTGGACTCTAACGGTACCCGAAGTGTGCAGTCATAGTGATCATATTACGTTTATACGCTTCTGCGGCATTCCTCTAAAAAGCAACAAACTCAATAGGGATACGCGGTTAACTACACCAAGGGGACCTTTTAGGTCAAGGAAAATCACGATTATTGGTCGGCGATGTGTGATGCAATCCGACGACTCGCGGCAGAAAGAAGATTTGGTGAATGTAAACGTGACCCGGTCGGATTCCTTCTTGTTGTTCGAGAATATTCATCTTCCTTAACAGGTGTCAGGCGGCGAAATATCTGGCCCCTGTGATCATCAGAACAGAAACGATTCCCCAGTGGTTTGCGTAATCGTTACGTGATCCCTTTTTGAAGATCAGAACAATGAACAATTCATCCCAGGATAAATGGTACGCTCCTCCGACCAGATGCCGAGAAGTAAACTAGTAATCGAATCGACTAGAAACTCACAATCTAGTTTGAAAAGAATGGACATAATACCATCAAATCCAGCTGCCTTCCTTTTCTTTAATGATTGAATATAGCTTCTTACTTCTAATTAACATGTTACCACCCATGGACTTTCCGCTGCAATTGCTCGAATAACCACAGTGGCACGAGGCCAAGTGAGCTGTTCACTAAAATAGTCTGCTCAGCGGTCAAGTCGTTGTCCTGTATTGTAAACACTTCAATTTTATCGCGAATGGTCTCGCTGACCGGTGTGCGAAGACCTCTGATGCTGCGGTTAAGGTGAAACAGTCTTTGGCTATTCCCTGATGCAGGAGCTACCTCCATTTCACTAGCTATTTTAGCCCCCCATTTTTCGTGATCTTTCTTAAGGCTTTTCCTGAGTTGACGTTACAGGCGCCATAGTTCACTATATTGATCTTGGCAGATTGGGATCCTCCGCGTTTGTTCCGTCGGGATTACTGACACTTAAGAGAACAAATGTCTTCGACGAACCTTGGCCTCGGTTCCACAAGCAAATTTTGCTGCCGAATGCATTGTAAGTTTGATTTGATGCCACAATGATTTACTCTGCCACTTCGTGCTGCTGTCAGCTCCTGTCCAAGGTTTTACCCATAACGTGCGTGAACAGATGGATCGCGCTGACGATGATGAGCTAACTAAGGAAGCGATTTTTGGCGACGATCGATGAGTCAAATTAGTCAGTACCAGTGCGTGAGCAGATTCAATGCAGGTAGTCCAATAGGATCGAACCACCGAACCACATTAACGATAGCTTACAGCTATGTGGTCTATTTGGGTCAACCTATCGTTGAATTAGAACACTATGTTACCGTCCAACGAGAGCTGTGACGAAAACTAGTTCTCGATCAGAACAGTCAGTGATCTGCGCAGAACTGAAGTAGTCGATTACCGTTGTCTGTTCACTGAGCGAGGAGAACAGTGCGCCCCCTCCCCACTTGTAGACAGGCTTCGGATGCGTTTTCAAGTCACCTACCAACACTATAGCATACGAGTTATGGCTTCATCGGATGAGTTTGGTAAGTGTGTCGAAAAAAATTCTTTTTTGTGAATTGGCACTGCACTTGGTTGGTGCATATGTCGATATGATGAGCAAGCACCGTTTGGTGTTGCTTCCTTTCCGAACATCAGGTGAACGCTGGAGACTCATCGCACAAAAGCGATTGTTGACATCAAAGTGCAGTGCCATCGTGATGATCTGGTCCTTTTAACGTGGTTCATGGGGTTCCTTGGGGAGTCATAATTGATGATGAAATTTTATGATGTTCATAAGTGCTCTCTGTAACGGACGTCTCTTAACCAAAATCGTCATTTTGCAGATGATACAAAAGTATGGCATACAGAGACAAACGTTCATTGTTAGTAAAGAGAACACTCAGGGCTGATTATCAATGTTTAATCACAAATGACGTAAAATTGAATGCAGTGAGATTTACGCTTGCATCCCCTCGCCACAAAACTCGGTTTACATAATATCTCGGATATCAGCCACTTTCTTATACCTCGAACGAGAAATTTGTAGGTGTCATCTTTCAAGACGTCTACAAAATACTCCAGGTTAACCTGAATCGTAAGAAAAATTGGTGTGATTGAGCGAATCTTTGTCAAATTTGGATCTATGCTGTTACTAATTTTGTTATCAGCCCGCACAGACCCCATGTTGAGTAAGCCACTCAAGCTTGAAATCCCAGGGATGCAACTCAACCGTAAGGCTTTGGAAAGTCCACAGAATATGGTCACCAACATGATAAAGTGACCACATTTCAAAACTTTAATGGATAGTTGGCGGAATTGCACTCCACACATCATCATAAAACTCGAGAAAATTTGCGTGTGGTGTATCAAGTAGTAGTGAAGCATCCGGACCAACCCACGTTGTCCACTGTTCATCTTGTCCTTCCTTCAAGTTAGTGTTCTAAAAATGTCTCATAGAATTCTGGTGTCATTTCTTTGGGCTGAGAATATGCATTATCTGGAATACCTTATCACCTCACATGGTTTCTGCTTTCACAATAGATTCTTTTAGCAAAGACTGAATAGATCATTGATATGACTCGAACTTCTGCATCCATAGTAGTTGATGAAACAGTGAAAATTTACGACCTTATTCACCTCGCTTTTCTTGATCAATCGATTCATTTGTACAAAAACACTCTGTAGGGTAGGAGAGGCAACAAATTCTATAATAAAATCTTTGAATTTGATCAGCCGTTTCAGTTTCTTATTCAGTACATTTAGATACTTGGAAGCAATTGTAATGGAGGTAACTCATTCGTCTCATTAGACAAAATTTGCCCCATTAGCTTACAGTGTCCATACATTCATTTCGTTTGTGTTACTCTCACCCTTCGATCTTCAGCCTATCAATCATAAGTGAAACATATGATATATATGATATATGATATGATATCACTCAGCCGTGTTCTACACCGGTGACAATAATGCATCGCCCATTCGATGCGCCCCTTTCCATAGAGATCAGGTAACCAAAGAATCTTTACCGGCTGTCACAAATTCAGACCACCGTGGTTCAGTACCGGTCTAATTATACACACCTAATCAATAAAGATATTTTATTTTAGGATAATGAAGTTACAAAGTGATTCCACCATAGGTATTTAAACTTACCTTGCTATAATTTTCGTTTACAAAAAACCAACAAATATGAGATATACGGCGTTATGTACTGGTCTCTCTCTCTGTATATATATATATGGCAGTCTTGTAAACAACGCTATTGATTGTCGTTTTTATAGTTCGGTTAGTATAACTTGATGTTCAGTTGTTCGCCGAGCTTGGCACCTGTATTACAAACGTTTCATCACCAATCGAGGTGACATTTTCAATGAAGTAACTGGGTGGGCGCTTACGAGTGTCCGTTTTTTATTTCGGTCGTTGAGTGATGTAGAGACGTGGAGCTGTCTAATTGGTTAATGTTTGTTTGCCTTGTGCCGATAGGGGATGCAGTGAACGGGAGCAGTCGAACGGCTGGTCGTTGATCGATTAATCTAAGCGTTACTATTGTCCTGTTGTCACGTGTGACACAACCCACGTTTTTACCTTCATTGGTCCTTGTGTTGCATGGGGGTGTAGACTTGATCGATGTCAATATGTCGGTTGACCGAATTTTCCGATGAATACCAAGCTTCCGAAAATTCTCTGGCGTGCTTCGAGCGGGCCTGATCAACAACTTCGCTGTTTTCGCAATCGAAGCGGTCCTCGTGAACTGAGATGAGGGAAAGCGCATCGTGTCTTCTGATGGCCAGTTTGTATTAGTGCACGCTAGTTACTAGTTTTCCTTCTGTTTGATTGATGTAGCACTCGTTGCAGTCCTTGTTATTGATGCAGTAAATCACATTTGTTCGATCTTTGTCTTCTTGTTGCTTCTTGATTTTGGACAAGATTCTCCGTAGGGTTGTTTTGCGTTTGTGGGCGACTTGAATGTTGTGTGGCATCAGTATTCTCGTGATCATTTCCGAAATTTTTTCACATACGTTAGGGTTACTCGATTATTCGGTTGTTTGTTTGTCCCTGGGTGTCGTTGTGTTTGAGTTACTGTCCGCTTGGCGAAGTTGCCGGTGTAGGAATACTTCCTTCTCTTGCTGCCTCAACTTTTCGGTGCTGCAGTGTGTTTTGGTCCTTTCTAAAGGTGTCCGAATGCAAATGTTCTTGTGACAGGTTGGGTGGTTTCTGGTGTATTCCAGGATTTGTCCGTGTAGGTAATATGGCTGTATACTAATGTTTCTAACGGTCCGGACAATGATCTTGTCACTAGGACATCGAGGAATGCCTATTTGACATTCTGATCTATTTTCATGATGAACCTGATATCCGGGAAGATATTGCTGATGCTCATTAAAGTTATGTCCATTTCTGATCACTTCAGGATCATGAATGTCATTTACATTTCTAAGCCAGAGTTCGGGCTGTAGTTGTGATAGAATCGTCCTTTCGAGACTTTGCGTCACGACTTCAGCAATGATTCCGGAAATTGGTGAACCCATGGGTGTTCCTTCCACTTGTTCGTAGATTTCACCGTCGAATTTGAAGAATGTTTGTAGGCGTAAGTCCATCAGCTCACATGCATTGAGAATGTCATCTTGATTGGTGATCAAATGTTTGTAGTACAATTACTAACTTCGGCGAACAACCGAACATTATAAATATATATAATATAGTTTATCTAATACCTCTGATATCCAAACGACGATGAGCAAGTACCGCTGACTTCTTCCCGCATGATAGTGTAGATCAACTGAGTACCGTTTGTGCTAATCAGTTTATCTGACTGTATGCCGTTCTACGCGTTTATATTCGTAGTTTGCCCAAGTGGGTGTCAACGTCAGTGTCAATGAAATTAGGAATAGAACCCAGACAAAGGATTGAAGAACACAGTAATCAAGGGTTTTACTGAATTTGTGTGGCAGCACATCATATTGTGTTATGTCGAACGTAACTGTAAAGGATAACGGTTTGCTTAAGCGGGTGTTTGGGCAGCTTGAGTCAGCGCTTTTCCTCCGTCTATTATCACCATACATTCGCTCAATCACAGAATCCATGGCTAAAACGTAACTGTGAAATGCTGGAGCGTCCACAAATGATGGTCACCAAAATGGTTAGGGGGTTGAATCGCTATTTAGACGTATACAGAGATTGAAGGGTTATATCTTAATCACTACCGGCGCATCAGAAGGGATATGATTACGATATACCAAATAATGCAAAATCCAAGCTATCCGTGTCGCCTGAAGCAAAAGTTATCACCCAAAGTTTATCCTAGAGGATATTCGTTTAAACTAGTGGTCCCAAACTGCCAATTGGAATACCAACATCAGTCATTTGCAGTCAGAGTGTTTTCGATCTGGAACTCTCTCCCAATCCACGTCGTCTGTGCACCAAGCACTGAATCTTTCAAACTGAGACCCGATGAAACATTAGCACACCTTACATTCCAACATAAGTGAAGCTGCGTGCAGCAGTGGAAGAATCCCGTATCATGTGACATTGTTACACAAGGAATTTTATGTATCACTGTTTTTTAACCACAACACGAACCTACGGGACGAGAAAAGCATGAGCTTGTAAGTTATTCCCATAGTAAATATTTGATGATTGGTTTACTGGTTAGACACGCCATTCGTTGATGTTTGATCTTGCTGCACTATGTGAATGACTTCAAGCCTAGCGGAATTAGCAGCAATCTTGTTTGGAGCAGAGCGGGCTCGCGATCACTGGCGTTTGTTTGACATTTTGTGACCCTATTGTCCCTTGGTTACCAAAAGCTTCATATAGATACGGACTAAGTATAACATCCCAGTCCTCTTTGGAAAACCGATTATCACCATATTCAACTGTTTTAGATCTGTCAGGATCTTTGATCATCA